CTAGTCTGTTCTCAGAATAACAACAAGGAGGAGAGCCACTGGCAGGGGACCCATTATATAGGTGATCAAGCTGCTGGCGGGAATGCAGACTGGTACAGCCACTATGGAAACCAGTATGGTGGTTGCTCGAAAAATTAAAAATGGAACTACCTTTTGACCCAGAGATCCCACTTCTAGGAATATATCCTAAGAATCCTGAAACACTAATCAGAAAGAATATCTTTACCCCTACATTTGTAGCATCACAATTTACAATAGCTAAGATCTGGAAACAGCCCAAGTGCCCATGAGTAGATGGGTGGATAAAAAAGCTGTGGGACATTTATACCATAGAATATTATGCAGCTATAAAAAAGAAGAATCTCTTACCCTTTGGGACAGTATGGATGGACCTGGAGAATATTATGCTAAGCGAAATGAGCCAGGCAGAGAAAGACAAATATCACGTGATCTCACTTATATGTGGAATCTAAATATAAGAAACTGATGAACAAAATAGATTCAGTGACATAGACCATGAAACAGACTGATGAATCTCAGAGGGAAAGTGGGAGTGAGTGGGTAGGTGGGGAGAGATTAACCCACAGACACATACAGTAGTGTGGTGAAGGCCTGGGGCGGGGAGTGGGTGCAAGGTAGAAGAGGTTAATGGTGGGGGGGAGAAAGGGGACATCTAATACTTTCAACAATAAAGATAGATTAAAAAAAAAATAGCTGCATAGTATTCCATGGTGTAAATGTACCACAGCTTTTTCATCCACTCATCTACTGATGGGCACTTGGGCTGTTTCCAGATCTTAGCCATTTTAAATTGTGCTGCTATGAAGACAGGGGTGCATAAGTTCTTTCTGACTGGTGTTTCAGGTTTCTCAGGATACATTCCTAGAAGTGGGATCACTGGGTCAAAAGGCAGTTCCTTTTTTAATTTTTTGAGGAACCTCCATACTGTGGTACATTTGCACCATGGAATACTACGCAGCTGTAAAAAGAAGGATCTCTTACCATTTGGGACAGCATGGAAAGAACTGGAGAGTTTTATGCTAGGTCAAATAAGCCAGTCAGAGAAAGACAAGTACCACATGATCTCACTCATATGTGGAATATAATAAACAAAATAAACTGATGAATAAAATAGATCCAGAGACATAGAAGCATGGAACAAACTGAGGGATCTCAGAGGGAAGGCGGGAGTAGGGGAGTGGGTGGGGAGAGATTAATCAAAGAACTTATATGTTTATATACATAACCCATGGATACAGATATTGATATGGGGAAGGCCTGGGGGTGGGATGGATGCCAGCTGGAGGGGATCAATGGGGGAAAAAGGGAAACATCTGTAATACTTTCACAATAAAGATAAAATAAAGGAAAAATAAAGCCATTTACTAAAAAAAAAAAGAAATAAACTTTGTTACTATAATTCAGTTTAGAAGTTGATACTGCAGCATAACACAGTGTTAAGCTGAGTAAAACAAAGGGCTGTATTTTTAAAATGTGAAGTCAAATTTTAGGATAAAATTTATACTTTCAATAAAGATACTCCAAATGAATGTAATGTTGTGCTCACTGTCAAATATCTAAAAAAGTTAAAATTACCAATGCTCTTATCATCCAAAGATAATGACTGATACTATTTTCTTATAGTACACATTTTCTTCCAGTATTTTTCTTATGCATATATACAACTAGCATTATACCTCACACTCCATTTTACATTGTGCTTTTTATACTTAGTGTATTTTCTCATGACATTAAGTCTCAAAGTAATATTAATGACACAATAATTATATTGATGAAATATAATTAAACAATTCCCCTGATGTTAAATATGTAGTTTCTGATTTGAGAACATTTATAAATAATACATGTGAACAATACATATTTACATAAAATTTTGTATCTACACNACCACTTACTGATTCTATTTCCAGACCATTTTTCTCCAAGATATCTGTTTTTCCGCTGTCACTTCCATTAAGTCTCTGTCGAAATGTCCCTTTCACAAGGAGGTTTTCCCTAGTACTCTATAGCAACACCTCTCCTCTTATTGCTACCTGACACATTATATATTTGCATATTACATCTTGAGATGTTATGGATACATATCTAGATCGTATCTATATCTAGATATAAGTCTAGATCTAGATCATCTGTTTCTCTGTGGGGCAGACTGTTTTTTTCATGGCCATATCCCCAGCATCAAGAACAGTGCCTGGCATATAAGAGACTCTTAATATTTTTTAAATTATTGCTCCTGTCCTATGTGAATCCTTAGTAATCCTGTAAGTCTGAGAGTGATATGTTGCTCTTTATCCTTTGTTGTTGGTCTTTTATCTTTACTGTTGAAAGTATTACAGATGTCCCCCTTTCCCCCCATTGATCCCCTCTGTATCACTTCACACCTGTCAGAATGGCTACCATCAACAAATCAACAAACAACAAGTGCTGGTGAGGATGTGAAGAAAGGGGAACCCTAGTACACTGCTGGGGGGAATGCAGACTGGTACAGCCACTATGGAAAATAGTATGGAGTTTGCTCAAAGAGTAAAAAACTGAACTGCCATTTGACCCAGTGATCCCACTTCTAGGAATATATCCTAAGAAACCCAAAACACCAATCAGAAAGAACTTATGCACCCCTATGTTCAAAGCAGCACAATTGACAATAGCTAAGATCTGGAAACAGCCCAAGTGCCCAGTCGATGAGGGGATAAAAAGCTGTGGTACATTGATAACATAGAATACTGTGCAGCTGTAAAAATAAAGGATCTCCTACCCTTTGGGACAGGATGGACGGAACTGGAGAGTATAGTATTATGGTGGGCGAAATAAGCCAGTCAGAGAAAGACAAGTATAAATGGACATAATTTTGAGATTCCTTTGATATATTCAAGTAGATGTCAAATAGGCTCAGAGAAAAGGTCCAGACGGGAAGTAACTGTTGAAAATGTCAAGACACAAATGAACACAACTATTGCTGTTCAAAATATCTCAAAGTAGTGATAGAATGCGTATTAATACTAGTAAATTATATTTTATAAATCTGCAAACATACTAAGGCTAAGTGTAGAAAAAGGTAAATGTACTGTGCATTTGTTCCTAGAGGAGACTATTTTAGAAAAGTTAACACAGAAAGTATCTTAAAATACATCAGTAGCTAAATTGTTAAAATCACATTACCAGAAGATTATAATCAATCAGTTCAACTTTTCTTGCTGTTAGTTTTCTTATGACTTAATGACTAATTTCTTCTTTAAAGAATGATTGTGAACAAATGAGAAGTAAAACCTTTTCCTTAACAGCATGTAAACAAAGTCTGTGATTTAATAACAAGGTCAAATTCCTGAAATATATGTCTGCCAGTTTTATTTTTTAAAAAGTTCAACAGCTTTAATAAGAACCATTCAGGATTCTGCACATTCTTTAAGTGTATTAAATCCACAAAATAAATTCACCCAGGCAATTCTGCCATCATACAAATAAGTTATATTAAAACATTTAATTTGCAAGTAAGCATGTAAAACTTAGAATATTCCTTCATAGAAGCAATAAATTAAACAAGAAAATGAACAAAGTAATTCAAGGTTTGCTGATTTTAAGCCCTCACAACTGAAATCCTTCACAATGTGTTTAAATATTTAAGAGCTATAATGTTATTTTGAAACAGTTATGAGGCATTATTTTGAAAATATATCTTCTTGTTATAAGGAGATATAGTAAGAGAAAGGAAAATAATTTAACTTTGCAATAAAGGTTTTTTAAAAAACCTCGATCATCTAAATAATCCCCTGGAAGATGTTTCTAAATTTTAAAATAGTGTGGAAATCTATTATTCAATGTGTTTAATGTTTATCATAGTTGCAATGTTAGTTTTAGGTAGACTAACTAGTGATACTACTACTGCATTTGTAAGTATTATATTCTATAGGATATAACTTGGATTATATCCAAGGAAATTAGGCTGACTGAAAAAAGCCAGTTGGAAAAGGATACCTTCTGTATGATTCCATTTATATAACATTCATAAAATAACATCATTATAAAAATAGATAACAAATTTTTGGTTGCTAGGGGTTAGGGATGAGGGGAGGGAGAGGTGTGGCTATAAAGGGGTACTATGAGGAAGCCTTGTGGTAATGGTATGTTGGGTGTATTGATTATGACAGTAGTTACATGAAGCTACTACGTAATAAAATTGCATAGAGCTATATACATACATACAAATGAGTACGTGTATAACTGGTGAAATATGAATGAGCTATGTGGATTTTACCAATATCAGTTTTCTGGTTCTGATATTTTGATATTGTAATATCTTGTTAAGCAAGATATTAACACTGGGTGAGACTGGATGACGAGTACATGGGGCCTCCTGGTATATCCTCCTGTAAAATTTCCTGTGAATCTATAATTATTTCAAATAAAAAGTTAAAAGCCTTTATTGCTCCATAATATATTAATAAAAATAAAATGTTCTTTTCAAAATAGCTTTTAGATTACTGTTATTAATAATCAGTGCTTAACAAGTGTGTAATATTGAAAATGAACTTTATATACTGATAACACAATTTCTTACAGAATAAAGCTGAAGATAGAGCTGAGCTACATGAGAAACAGTTTCTTATTGTCCTCAGTGAAAATATCACTCTTTGCATTTTTAATTTGATACTTATAATGATTTAAAGAGAGTAGGAGCTATACTATGAAAAGCATGAGATCTCTTACATAGTTCTTTTAACAAAATGCAATAAAGAAATAATAAATGTTTTTATATAAGTTACCAAGAAGATGAATTGCCTTGCTTCTTGGTAAAATAACTTTTTCAAAACTGACTTTATAAAGTATCTCCCATTTTAGAACACGGTATTGCAAAATGAACTACCTGTTTCCTTGGGGAAATGATGGCATCAAGTAAAATGACTGAGACATTATCAAAATTAAACTAAAAAAGAACAGTTGGTTCTAAACGATATTAATGTAAACCAGTAAGTTAATTTTACCTGATTTCCAACTTTGCTACTTCAGGTAATTCTCCAAATTTTATCTCTTCTACTTCTAGTTCTTTAAGAGCAGCCAGAATTTTCTGCTGATCTCTATTGGTAATTCCATTCTAAATAGATATAATTTTAAAGTGCAATAAGATAGTCATATTGAATAATATTCAAAATTACTACAGAAGTTTTCTACTTGATTCACATCTTGAGAAAAGACACACACTGAAAAAATACCACTGAAAAATATATGATTTGCTTGTAACTGTGGCTAAGAAGCTTACATCATTAAAATATTTAGATATGTAGTAATTTTAGTAAGCTTTTTATAATACATAATAGTTGTGATGGATTCTAAAAATATATTGCTAAAATAAATGACTAAGTTTCTAAAAAAAAACCAACAGTAATACAATTCCTTCAAAATATTATTTAAAGTATCAGTGATTAAGTAAGAACTCTCTTATGTTTGTATTCTACCCTTAGTACTAAATTTTCTATCCTGAATTTAGCTAATTAGTATGTTTATTTTGATTTTCAGTGATAATAAAAGTTTCAAGTTTCTAGAGTGTTTATGTCAATGTGTTCCAATTTGTTCAGAAAGATCATTACTCTTTAGGTGTCCTATTTATTAAAGTAACTCTCATATTTCCCATAGTATTTCTGCTTAATAATACTAGATGATAAAATAACAGGTCTTGATCACTGTGAGAATCCAGCAAAAGGCAGTATTTGGATGACACATGTTCATACTCACACACAAAAACACCTCTTATTTCTAAGTAACTTGTTTTAAAATTTTAATTGATATTTAGAAATGAAGCACAAGTTTTAATTGAAATGTCATGACTAATCGATAGGAAAAAAAAACAACTCTTAAGATTTTAAATGTTCTTAAAGCAACTTAATACTGTAACAGAAGATGTTGGTTATCTATATTCCTAAGTAATCAAGAGCCTAGCAAAAGGTCACTCATAGTCTATAGACCTAGGATTTTTAAAATAGAAACTAAAAGGCTACATCCACAATTTTAGAAATATGAAAGACAATGTCTGCAGTTTTTGAAATTGATACTACCTTTGTAAACTCATCTTTCCTCATGGTCAAAAGATGTCTTAAAGTTATATCCCTTTCCTGTAGAAAAGGAAAAAAATGTCACCTTCCAATATAAATAAAAGAGTAGAAGAGGAAATGGCCACATGTACGTAAGTTAGTCAGTTACACGTTACCCTCCCAAACAACTTCCAACTTTCTAGAGGGGATAGGATATGCAGGTATAAAATTATACTGCTGGGTAGATAGTAATGAATGTCATATACAATTACCTTAAAAAGTATAAACATAGTTTTCCAGATTCAAAGAAAATGATCACAACTTATATTTGCTCTATAAAATTGGATAGAAATTATGTTTTAAAAATATTTAAAATTCCTATTTGTATCATATTAAACCACCAATAACATTTAGTTTTACTCAATATAACTCAAATAAGAAGTTTCAAGATTGTACAATGCAGTCCAATTCTGAACTACCTAAACAGAATGGGCATATTCCTAAGGACAGCCTATCTTAAATAGCGCTTTAATGGTTCAGTATCAGCTAATTGGCTGATAACTGTCATCTATTCAAATCCCATAATGCATGCCAAAAATAGCTATAACAGTACATATGTGAATTTAATCTTTTTTAAAAAAATACGATTTTATTGATATCAGAGAGAGGAAGGGAGAAGGGGAAAGAGAAAGAAACATCAATGATGAGAGAGAGTCATTGATCGGCTGCCTCATACATACCCTCTGCTGGGGATCGAGCCCGCAACCTGGGCATGTGCCCTGACAGGGAATTGAACTGTGACCTCCTGGTTCACAGGTCGATGTTCAACCACTGAGCCAAGCCAGCAGGGCTGAATTTAATCTTTATGACAACCCTACACTAGGCAGTGTCATCCTCGTGAAAAAAAGAGATTTAAGTAACATATTTCAGTTAATAATGATTAAAGCAAGAATCTGATACCAGGTTTGTTTGGTATAAAATCATTTTTCTTCCAATATTCTATGCAGGAAGATTAGCAACTGCAAAAACAAAATAAGGGCTTAGATGTACAAGCAGAAGTTCTGTGAAGCTTTAGGAAGTGGGTAAAAGCTGTTTAATCTAGCCAGATTCTAATTTACAAAAATTTCTAGAATAACATTTTCTAAATGTTTATACGTAAAAATTTTTGAAACTCTTATAAATATAAATTTTTTGAAATGCTTGTAAGTACAAAATACAGAGAAAAGTGCATTTGGGACTCTTTCATAAGCATGCTTATGAGTATTTAATGTATATTAATCAACAAATATACATACGAAACTCGTTGTTTATACAATATCTTACCTTTAATAAATCTGTCATATGTTCAAGTCCAAGACCATGTAAAAATACTTCCAGGTCTCCAAATGCTGTATATGAACTATATATATTTATAGCAATGTCAATTTCAGAAAAAGACTATAAATGCACAAACAACAAATAAGTATTTATAATGCAGAGAAAGAATGAGAAAGAGTAAAAATGAATATGTGTAAAATATATTTGCATATTTACACAACAGATCTATGTTACATCAGGAATAAGAAAGGTTTCTTGAGTGAAGATATAAGTAAACATGTGATAGTAAATGCTAACAATAAAATGTAGATCGTTCTTTCCTAAGAATAAAAATACCTGCTGATGTGTATACGCCTTGTGAGATCTCATAGATGAAAAACTCTAATTGCAGAAAGTAAGAATTTAATAATAATTTTAAATGTGGGTAAATAGATAAAAATTTTGTGGCCTGTTCAGGAAAGAACAATGAATAACGGTGTTCAGGAAAAATATGTATTTTTAATTTTAGCTTATAAAATCAGAAATCTGCTAAAAAAATTATTGTTCAAAAAAATTGAACACTAACAAAAATATAATCTTAGAAACTTTTAGAAATAAATTTTACTGTGGATATTTTATTTAAAGTGAAAAATTATTCTCATTATTGTTGGTACACATATATAAAATTTTTCTAAAATTCTGGAGAACAAAAGCACTTAAAAAACCAGACATTTCTAAGTGATATTTTAAAATGCTCGTAAGTTTAAAATCGTGTATTTTAAGTGACATTACATTTACTAGAAGTACCAAAAACAAGCACAATTTTTAAATTATAGGTATTCTGTTGAACAAAAAAAGCTTTTACCTAAATATGTTATCTTTTTCTTTATCAGAATCCGCTGTCAATAGTTTACAAATAGTCTCTTCTTTAGTTAGCTGTTGAAGCTTTCCTTTCAACGGATTTAGAGTCAAAGAAAGAAAGCTGAATATCTGAAAAAAGTTGAGCCAATCAAATATAATTAACAATATTATACACTATTACTTACACTTAAAAGAAACTGAACATGTGATTATTTTATATCTAGAAAGAAATTTTTTCCAAGGTTTGAGAGGGACAGAACTTTCACAACTTACTATCCTGAGAATAATTTTTAAAAAATCAAGTAAATATTTCCTTGATTAAAATAATAATCAGAAAAGAAAAGTACATCTAATTAAAAATAGTAAAAACTAAAGGAATATAGTAATTAAAATTTTCCATATGCTTTAAAACAAAACTAAAAATTCCATTTTAGTAAGTGACTCAGACTGAGTACTAAGGTAGCACTTTAAATACATGGTTAAGTAGGGAGGAAGTAATAAGAATGGCTAAATGTATATAAATCCCAACTCTACACCTCAAAGAGATATGGTGAAATTCTTTAGTTTTAAAGTCTTACTTTTTAGTAAGTCAAGGTTATGCTACATAATCAGCCAAAATAAAAAATTAAATCTCACTTTAAGAAGCAATTTAAAACTCAAAATAATCTTTGATGTTCATATTGTTATTTTTTTAAAAATCTTTACTCAAGGATAGTTTTTCCATTGATTTTTAGAGAGAGTGGAAGAGAAGGAGGATGAGGAGGTAAGGGGGGAGAGAGAGAGAGAGAAAGAGAAAAAGAAAAACACTGATGTAAGAGAAACAAAGTGACTGGTTGCCTCCCACAAGTGCCCTGACCAGGTCGGAACCCAAAACCGAGGTACAAACCCAAACCGGGTTTGATCGGGAATCAAACCCATGACCCTTCAGTTCAAGGGCCAATGCTCTAACCGCTGAGCCAAACCAGGGCTCATATTGTTCTTTGATGTTCTTTAATGTTCTAATTCATTGTCATGTACCCTAGATTTAAAAATGCAGTAAACTAATAAAAGGTCTTCAAATTTTCAAAGCTTAGAAGAAAAACTACACATTTCTTCTTGAAGTTTCACAGAGTTCTAGTGATCGGCATTTACGCTAGAATAATTTTGGAAATGTAGATTTGAGTTAGAAAATGATAGGCATGTTTATCAGATTGCTTTAAAAATAGAGAAAGTTATGTTACATGTAGTAAGAGTGGCATGGTCTGGTTATTATATGATGGAACCTTTGAAATGTCACAAGCTTTCAAATTTAGAAACTCAGTTTTAGAAGCTTTTGAATGACATAACAGTTTTACAGTTGTACTGTGTTTGATCTTTGCTTACAAATGACAGACCTTTGGCCAAAAGTTTTCATATTGAGAACAAAAGTTTATATCAATAAAGTAATTTAATGTATGGCAAATATTTATTATTGAATTTAACATGTGAACAACAGTAGATCATATACCCAAGTATGCTATCACTTTATTATATACCTTGTTACATGTATAGGAGTAAAGGTAGCTTAAAGAATTTAATTTTTAAATTTCCCAATACCTGTTAGTTAAAATTTAAAAATATTTTCATTACATGTTCAAATTTTTAAAATTTTACTAGCTTTCTCAGTACACTAATTTTTAAAAATCTAGACCAGTTTGAAATGTTTAAATAGTCTATTATAGTTTTTTAAGAAGTTTATTGATTTTTAGAAAGAGAGGAAGGGAGAGGGAGAGAGAGGGAAACACTGATGTGAAATAACAACATTAATGGGCTGCCTCCTGCATGCCCCCTATTGGGGATTGAACCTGCAACCCAGGCATGTGTCCTTGACAGGGAATCGAACCATCAACCTCCTGGTGCAGGAACGACGCACAACCAACTGAGCCACATCACCAGAGCTATTATAATTTTATTTCTAGGGATAGAATACAACTTTATTATGCCTTCTTTATGGCTTTTAAATTACCACATTATAAACACCTTATATTTAGTAAAAGATGAATACTCTAGTAAAATAAAGTTTTCCTTACCTGATCGAAGGAAAATTGCATATTTAAATACTTAATAGCCAGATACACTATTTTTACAGTTGTGAATTCTTAAAAAATAATATAAAATTCCTACAAATGACAACATAACATGCCATAGAAAAATTAGTTTAATATATAGAAGAATACCTCTAGATGTTTATTTCTTTTTGCAATTTCGCTTGGTGTATTTCCATGTTTGGTTTGTAGCATTTTATTAGCTCCAAGTTCAAGCAACTTCAAAACTACATTTTTATGACCCTGACGTGCTGCCCATGTTAAAGCCTGTAAAAGTGTGTGGGAAGGAGATTGTTTAAAAAAGAGGGACTGTATATGAGAAAGAACAGTATTTATGACACAATAAAAAAGTGAATGTGGTTAATTAATGAAACAATGCAATCTCTTCATTTCACAATTTAATGTAAACATATTTCTAAAGTTGTAATTGGAAAGCAGACTTCCAGTACTCAGTGATTTTATAAAACCAAATGTTTTACACACTCAAATGATGTTACATAATAAAATTATTTATCTGCCAATTACTGAACTGTTTTCTATGAAAAAGAATTCTAAGTGTATTAATGGAGCCCAGGCTTTGTTGTGTGTTATAGCTTCTGTGTCAATGGTGAAGATCAAGAGAATCAGATAATTCGTTTTTTATATTTCAGCTGTTGCTTTTCTTCACCAAACAGCAATTATATCCTAGCCCTTCCATAACTTTTATTTCTTAAAAACCTTTTTGTGGTCGACTACTCATAGTAACAAGATATCAATGTCTTAGACATAAAAAGGAACATTGTACAATCGATTCTCACAGTATAGCCATTCTCATCCTGGGTATTAACTTCTGCTCCATGAGCAACAAGGAGAGCAACAACCTGAGGGTGACCATCTCTTGCAGCATACATGATTGGAGTCATAAGTCTCCTAAAGAGGAGGAAGAAAAGAAACATTTGTGTTAATGCTGCCATTAACAGTTACTCAAGTTCATGAATTTTACCATGCACGATACCATCAGTATTGTTTTGAAAGCAAAAAAAAGAAAGAAATGAAGGCTCTTAATAAATCAGGTTATTTAAAAATCCAATCTCATGGCAAATAAAAAAATGAACACTTTAAAGCATCGCATGCTTACACAGCACCCTCTAGTGAAGAAACATGTTTAAGAAAAAATCACTAAATAAACCACACTTTCTAATTTGAAGTTTCATTAATTTACATCTTCATGTAGGAAAATATCAGAGTACCCACACTATGCTTATGCTGGGAATATAGTGATGAATAACACAAAAATGGTTCCTATCCTCTGAGGATTGCTCAAACTAAATGCTTATTATATTTTATTTAGCAGTGTGCTGAAATAAAAATGTAAATTTAAAACTTCCTCTATTTCTTAAAGTATTCTATTACAATTCCACTTTAGTTTACAACTGAAAGAATTTTACCCTGACTTGGGGGCTTACTCTAATCAAGAAAGAGATCAATCTAATAGTTTAGGCCAAATTCTCTGAGGCTATTTTCTCGGAGAGCACAGTGTATCATTTTCCAAAATTAGAGATTCAATCCCTCTACTTTTGGAAGATGGTCATCTTCTGAACCTATTATAAAGGACACCAAAAAGATTCTATCAGTTCTACTAAGGCTGAACTTAGTATCGAGGTCTGTTTTAAAGGAGGTCCGGGATTCTGTGCCTCATCTTCCTGAGTCACCTCAAATATCTGATTTATATACAAAGAACTTCACGAAAGAACAAAAAATTTCAGAATTCTCTATTTTGATCTCCTTAAGGAAGTTCATCTTGGTTACTCACATTACATACACTACCTATGAATACACTAAGCAGAATATTTTTTATTAGGTTTGTAAATATAAGGTACATACTAACTGATCGCTTCATACCAATGTCTTTAGCACAAAAAGATTCACACATTTATCTGTTTCTATTTCCTAGTATCTTACAATTTCAATGTTTTACTGGAAATTATATGCTAAGGTAGTTGTCAAACATTGCTTCTTTTCCCTTGAATATCTCCTATAGAATGGCTTCATTAGATAGACAATCTTTACAAGATGAAGAGTTAATTTCCTGGATAACTTAAGCAAACAGAAAATACATACAATATAAAAAATCATTTGAGTCAACTAATCATTCAAAATCTCCAATAAGTATAAATCAGATCTCTTTATGCCTTTCCTCCACCCTACTTTCCCCACAGTAGCCCAAATCTGCTCCTTCCAATCTTCCGTTTCACAAAGCTATCATTAACCACATAACTCGGGCTTAAGACTAAGCATTATTCATGACTATTTTCCATGACACCATATACAAGTCATCAGCAGGTCCTCTTGGCTTTACCTCATAATATATTATGAATCTAACCACTTCTCACTACCTTATTAGCTATTATAAGCAATTCAAGCTATCATTATCTTTCTCTGATCTATATTATTGCAAAAGTCTCATAACTGTTCTCCATGCTTCCTCTTTTGGTCACTTCCAGTTTATTCTCTATGAAAGTGCCAAGCTATTCCCCTTTCAGAGGCCGTGCAAGTGCTCTTCCCTCTGCCTTTCCCTAAATCTTCATATTGTACATTTCTTTATCTTTAATCAGATTCTTATTAAGAGGAAAAGATCAATAAAATTAAGAAACTTATAGCCAAACTGATCATAATAAAAAAGAGAGACAATACAAATTACCAATATCAGGAATAAGAGAGGTGATATCACTACAGTCTCTCCAGATTTTAAAAGTATAAGGGGATATTTTGAACAAATTTATGCCAATAAATTTAAAAAATTATTTATTTTTAATTGAATTATTAGTATATTAGTATTCTGTTGCCACATAACAAATGATCACAAAGTTGGTGGTTTAAAACACCCATATATTAATTCAGAATTCCGTAGGTCAAATTTTCAAGCATGGCACATGACTGGGTTCAGTGCTCAGGGTATCTCAGAAGAGATTATCATCTCTAGGAAAGAAACTCATTACAGACTCATTCAGGATATTAGCAAATTTTAATTCCTTGCAGTTGTGGGACTAAGGTCACCATATTCTTTTTAGCTATCATCTGGGAGCTGCTCTAAGCTCATAGAGGCTGCCTATTCTCTGTGCCATGTGGTAGAGAATATCCCTCATATTAAATTTAGCCAATAGTAGAGAATATCCCTCATATTAAATGTCTCTTACGATGCAATTTCTAAATTACACAATTTAGGTGAAATGGACAAATTGCTCAAGGCTCCAAAGGTTAAAAGACATGCAAAATAAGTAACTTGAATAGTCCTATATTTATTTTTAAAATTAGTAATTAAAAACCTTCCACAAAGAAAACAAAAGGCCCAGATAGTTTCCCATGTAAATTCTATCAAACAGTTAATAAAAAAAAATACTGATTCTATACAAACTCTTCCAGCAAGTTGAAAAGGAGAGAGTGCTTCCCAATTCATTCTTTGAAGCAAGGGCTAATCTAATGACATAAGCAGAGAGCAACATTATGAGGTAAGAAATCTACATGTAAATAATCTTCACTGAACATATATGCAAAAATTCTAAAAAATGTTCGGTAAATAAAATCCAAAAATACGTAACAAGGATATATATCATAACCAAGTGCAGTTATCCTAGAAATGCATGGTTAGTTTGACATTTAAACTAAAAAAACAACACCTGATTATCTCAATGAATGCAGAACAAGTATTTTACAAAATCCAACATCTATTTCTAATTTTAAAAAAACCTCTCATCAGTGTAAGAATAGAAGAGAAATTTCTCAACCTGATAAGGACATCTATGAAAAATTTACAGCGAATATCATAATGCTGAAAGAGTGAATGCTTTTCCCCTAAGATCAGGAACAAGACAAAGATGTCTGCTCTCATCACTTGTATCTAACATTGTACTGGAAGTTCTAGCCAATGCAATAAAACAAGAGAAAAAAAGGCATCTAGATTCAAAAAGAAGTAAAACTGTCTTTATTCACAGCCAGCATGATCTGTCTATGTAGAGAGCCCAATGGAATCTACAAAAAAAGTACTAGAACTAATCAATGAATTTAGCAAGATTGCAGGATATAAGATAAACATAAAAATACCAACTGTATTTTTATATACTAGAAATAAACAACCTGAGATTGGAATTAATAAAATAATATCAATTATAATAGCAAAAATGTGAAAACAGGGAAATCTATTTATTAAAACCACACCCAATATTAGCATAAATCAGTGATTTTTCAATCTTTTTCATTTCATGCCACATGTAAACTAATTACTAAAATTCTGTGGAACACCAAGAATTATATTTTGTGTTGATCTGACAAAAAAATAGGTATAAGCCCTGGCCGGTGTGGCTCAGGGGTTAGAGCACCGGCCCATTCACCAAAGGGTTACGGTCACATGTTCGGTTCCTGGTAAAGGGCACGTACCTTGGTTGCAGGTTTGAACCTTGGCCCCAGTCTGGGCCCGTGCAGAGGCAACCGAACAGTGTCTCTCTCTCATATTGATGTTTCTCTCTTTCCCTCTCTCCCCCTCCCTGCCTCTCCTTCCCTCCACTCTCTCTAAAAGTCAATGAAGCCCAGCTGGTGTAGATCAACAGGTGAGCATTGACCTATGACCCAGAAGATCATGGTTCGATTCCAGGTCAGGGCACATACATGCGTTGCGGGCTCAATCTCCAGTGGGAGGTGTGCAGGAGGCAGCTGATCAATGATTCTCTTATCAATGATGTTTCTCTCTCTCTCCCTCTCCCTTCCTCTTTCTGAAATCAATAAAGATAAATTTAAAAAAAAGTCAAAGGAAAAAATATTCTTTGGTGAGGATTAACAACAACAAAAGATATAATTTTGATTCATTCACACTGAATGGCTACTGTTGTGTTGGCTGTTTTCATTTTTTTAATTTAACAATCTAAGGGAGAAGAGGTCAGTGCCCCTGACTAACTAGTCAGGTACTGCATGTTTTAAAAATTCTTGCAACACACCAGTGTGCCACGGCACACGGGTTGAAAATCACTGGCATATATACATAAACACAGTAACATATTTGTATGTATCTGACTTATAATTTGGATTTAGAAGTCTCTAGCCTAAACAAAAGACTTCAGATCTTGATTACAAGAGGAAATATAGTATAGAGGTTAAAAGCATGAGTTCTGGACTCAGAATACCTGACTTCAAATTTTAGATCTAATATTAGCTGTGACACTGAGCAAATTACTATCTGTGCTTCAGTTTCTCCATCTATAATTTGGAGATAACAGTACATACTTTAAGAAGTTGTTATGAGGATTAAATAATTTAATACATATGAAGTGCCTAACACATAAGTGTTTATCTTTCATTCATTTAAAACACATACATTAAGCACTTATACAAGCCATATATTAATTTTAAGTGGTGGAGGTACAGCAATACACAAAACCAAGTCACTGCCCATTTGGAGCTTCCATTCAGGAAAGCTGCTGCTACTGCTGTTTTTGCTGATTCAACTACAGAAAAATATAGACCAAAGATGGATAATAAACATGAACATCTTTTACATAAACTGTAAATTTTATGAATATGAATTCTGTTGTAATGCTAGCATATATCAATGAGGTGTATGGAGATATGACAAGTTAGAAGACTGCCAAAGTCCTGTTTTCATGTAATAAAATATTTTCTGAATATATGACTCAGTAATATGGCACAATCTCTCATTTCTAAGAAGTCAGAATAATATACTTTTTTCATCCTGAGTAGAATGCCATCTCACTGAAATGGAATTAGAGTGTTTGAAACAAGTTTACCAAAGCTTATCAAGTCTTTCCAAATAATTATATATTTATTTAGTTCTAGATTACTTTAACCTTGTCATTTATCTAGAGTAACAGGTATTTTACTTATAACTAAGTAAAATCGTTTTGAGTGACCTTTCAATATTT